TGTTACACACGGGCCGGTCTTCACCGCCACCACTGTCATCCACAACCATCAATGCTATCTTCGCCTTGCCAAGGCCGCCCGCCTTCGCCGATATTGTATAATTAACTTATTCTTAGCTTAGGATATTTTTCTTACTACTATCTAAAATAATTTTTTATTACAATTTAATTTGTTATTGTAACATTGATAATTTCCTTTTAATTTGTGCAGTGGAATTTCAGAACAATGATGATGGGCTTCGCATTTCTGGCTTTCTTACTGCTAACAAGACAAATTGTAAGATTCATTTTAAAATATTTTAGCTCAAAAATTTTTTGTCATAATTTTTATTTTTTATTTTTTGGGATGTTTAATTTGTCATTATTTATTAGATGTATAGATAATCTACAAGTTTTGCAATTTTGCCATTTTAATTTCTTTCTAAAATAAAATATATTAGAAGGAATTTAAAAAAAATATTCAATTTACTTTAAGATTAGTGTTACATGTGAATAATTTTTTTTTCATCAATCTCAAAGTAAATCCAATAAGTATATCCTAATACAAGTTATATCAATATACTCCAACACAATTTTTTTTTTTAAAGAAATAAAAGCTCCCCTAGAATATCCTGATATACCTTTAAAAATATGGGATCTGCGTTGAGATTAGTGCTATATATTGCACTAATCTCAAATCTCAACATGGTACAATTTACATAAAAAAATTCTGATATAATTTTTATTCTTTTTAAATAGTTTAAATAAATAAAATGTAGGTTCATAATTATTATTTTGTGATAAAAATTATGGCTAACACATAAAACTGAGGGAATTAATTACTTTGATGCAGAGCTTGAAAAGACCAAAGCTTTACTTAATATCAGCAACAGGTCCACTGCTCTCGGTGATCATATCAACATTTATTATTTTTGCATTCAGGCCGGCCTTTCAGGGCATTCAAACTGTAAGAATCTGAGCCCTCAATATACCTTTTTTATTTTCCACTTGATAAAATTCATGATCTATGATTTTTATGTGCGGATGTCGGACGCAGCTGTCCGGATGCTGCGGTACAGAGTAGTATTGAGCCGTGGTACAGTAAAAGGGTGAGATGGTCCATTTTTGTTGGTCTCCGGACCACGTTCGGAGTCCGCACAGAATAATTTTTCCATACGTTGATGACTGATGGGTGTCGATCATTAATATGCATCAAATGATGATTAATGAGATATGTTAGAAATTGGGTGAAGATCAATTGTTGGCTATGACATTCTTCTGGTATGAGGGGAGATTAGGCAATTGAGAGGGCCGGTGAAATATGAGTCATTCTCTTGATAAGAGAGATCAAAAGATTGATAAAATGAGCATTAGATACCAATGAAATATGAGTATCATGGTCATTAGCAAGCGGTATATGCACTAAACGTCGGCGGTTAGTTCAAATATGAGTGGTTGAAAGACAAAGAACATCAATTTTTTGGCAGCAATCGGGCACAATCTATAGGAAGCATCAAAATTTTAGCGAGATTTAGAGTCGTTGGATTCATCTCATTGAGATACTCACTTTGACTATAACAAATATAGAGATATTTTTTTCTATAACACATCATAACATGATTATAACAAATAAAGAGAGATTTTTTTCTATCAGGTTGGGATGTTAGAGCAGGGGCTTAATCCTCCTTCTATTGACAAGCTACTCTTCAAAAGTTCCTATTTGATGCTAACCATCAAAACAGGCATTATAACTGGGATCCTCTCTCTAACTGTAAGCACTAAACACATTAAACTTCCCATCTAAATATAAAAATAATAATAATAATGATTTTGAACTAATCACAGGAAGGAATAGCGGTTGGGAGAACTTTTGCTTCTCTAAAAGACTACCAAATTGATGGAAATAAAGAGATGATGGCCATTGGAATCATGAACATTGCTGGCTCCTGCTCTTCTTGTTTCATTACAACAGGTATATGCCAACCAAAATCAAATAATTTTTATTAAAATCTTACTAAGGATATTATATTTTCTATAAATAATATGTTCCCTATGCTCATTAAAGTCATGAAGACTGCATTTTTTATTTTTATTTTTTGATTGAAAAACACATTGTGCATTTAATTATATGGCATTAAGAACAAAGTTTATATTGAAAAAAAGAAAAAAAAATATGAATATCTTGATAGAAAATTGTTCAAAATGAGCCACAAAGTTATTATATTTTGCTATGAGATGAACGTATAATTTAATTGATTATTCGTGTATGTATTGCACTCATCTCAAAGCAAAATAAATGAATTTAAAACTAATCTTGATAAAAATTTGATTATAATAATCTGATTTATTTTTATTAAATTTTTATCAAGATTCCAAAATTCGGAATCATCATTCCATATAACATTGAATGGTAATCTTCATCCAATCATATCAATAGCACAAATCCTGTTGACTCAGGGGCGGATTCAGCCTTAATTTTAAGGGGAGGGCAAACTTATAAGTAAAAGTGTAGAGTTTTTTTTTTCATAAATATCCTTACAATCAAAATTTGTTCCGACGCGCTGCCTCTCGACTCCTATTTATTCATCATTTTACGCTTTGCATATATGTCGGGATTCCAAGGGGGCAGCTCCCTAGAACAAATTTTGGTTGTAAGGATGTTTTTGAATTCTCTTTACTATTTCTCTTTGTATTTGGTTCATCGTTCCCTAACAATAACATTTTTATAGAATGTATAATTATGTTAGGGCTTGCCTAAAGACCATAGTATTTTAAAACTTTTAGAGGGACAATTGCCTAAAAACTCTTGTAATAAATACTAAAAAATATATGGAGGGAGGCAAATTACCTAAAGAATCATATAATAAAGAATTTTTTTATTTTTTCGGTGGAAATTAAGGTGGAACCGCCGATGCTTGTTGTGTATGGACTATGATCCATGATTCCCTCCCTACACCTTGTGATCTCTTTTGAAGCCTAAACTATCTATTGATCTTATTAGCCACATAAACCCTAACAAAAATATTAATTATATTTCTTCATTATTTGAAATACAGGATCATTTTCCAGATCAGCAGTGAACTACAATTCAGGATCCAAGACAGCAATTTCTAACTTAGTGATGGCATCAGTTGTGCTTATAACCATGATGTTCTTAATGCCTCTCTTCTATTACACACCAAATGTTATATTAGCAGTAACTATCATATTAGCAGTTGTAGGACTAATTGATTTCAAAGTCCCAATAAAACTTTGGAAGGTAGATAAGATTGATTTCATTGCTTATCTAACTGCATTCATTGGAGTCCTCTTCATCTCAGTACCAATAGGCCTTGCAATTGCAGTAAGCCTCATACATTCTTCATAAATTTCAAATATATCCATTTGATTCATTCATTTATTTAATTATTGTAATTTCAGGTGGGTATATCTGTAATCAAGATATTGCTTCCTGTCACAAGGCCAAACATTGCTATCATGGGAAATGTTTTGGGAACACAGAGTTACAGAAGTATTGGACAGTACAGGGATGCCAAAAGGGTTCCTTATCTTCTTATTCTCAGCATTGAGTTTCCTATCTATTTTGCAAGTGCTGTGTATCTTCAAGATAGGTTGGTTTGTTTATTAATGATTAAAGCTGCTAATGCATGGTTAAGAAGTGTGATTAGCAGATAATTGTTGATATTAATCAAGATTTCATGTAATTACTCAGCTAATGACAATGCTTTTGCAGAATTTTGAGATGGGTTAGAGAGGAGGAGGAAAGAGCTCTAATGCTGAAGGAAAATGGCATCAAATGTGTGGTTTTGGATATGTCAGGTAAGTAATTAAAAAATCATAAAGAATTTTAACTAAAAAGTTGATTGTTGAATGTTTTTATATGTTCTCAGCTGTGACTGCAATTGACATAAGTGGAATTGATGCACTCTTAGAAATAAAGAAGGCACTCAGCAATAGATCACTGCAGGTGAGTAGAAATTGCAAATTGTGAATATTATTGTGATTAAGGAGCACAAATAATGCATATAGTACTTATAATTAATAGTTTTTCTGTGTAATTTTGTAGCTTGTGCTTGCAAATCCCATTGGAGAGGTTGCAAACAAACTTTTTATTTCAGAGGCTTGGGAGAAATTTGGATCAGATAACATTTATATGAATGTTGCAGAAGCTGTAGCTGCTATCACAAAGTTGATTAAAAGCCAACAATAAAGGAAAAAAATAAAAAAATATCTTAAGAAATAATGAATGTGAAAGGATAGGCGGCCAAGGCGAAGGTTTTCTATCCAAATTTCATGATCTCGAGCGACATATTTTACGATTTATCGCTCATCATTAAAAAAAAAGAAAAAAACTATAACATGTTGATTTATACATGCACATACATCATGTGCGCGTGTTTTATTTTTGTTGGTCGGTGAAGGAGGCGGTGAAGGTATAGACTATAATTTGATCATTTGCCCATGAGAGACTAATTAGGGATTCAATTTGGGCTCCAAATGAATCACTATTTAGACGCGCTTGTACTCCCCATTTGCCATTTCATGTCAATCATGTTAATATCACAGTAATATTTCATCTTGTTCGACCGAAAAATTGATCTTATGCAAAAAGAAAAAGATTAATTAGTATTTCTTCTTAAAATATTGTCTTTTTTATTTATCCAAAAATATGTAGAAAATCATACTAAGGGCATTTATTTTGAAGTATAAAAATTACAAATAGTGATGAAATTCGGAGGTGACTTTGGAGGCCGTCGCCATCTTTAAATTTTGAGTGAATCTCTCTCTGTGTATATATATTAAAAAATTATTATATTTTAATTATTTATAAATATTATGATTATTTTAATAAATTAAAATAAAAAATGTATATTTTTATTCTAGTTTATTAATTTTTCACACAATTGACTTTTATAATGAATTTGGTATGTTCTTTTTTTATTTTGGGGTCATATTTATGCTTGTAAGATGCCACTTGTGTTGTTATATAATAATTTATTAAAGAAGAAAATACATCAAGTTGAAGGGGGTGAAGCTGATATAATGGCCTAAAAAAAAAAAAAAAACTGATATAATGGCCTCATTTAATGCTATTTTTATTTTGAATCTTTTATAGGGATTATAAAAAAAAGGCACAAGTCATCTTGAATAGAATCCATTTGGTACCAACCATTATAGTAAGCATCATTATAAAGTTGATATTTTTTTATATAAAGCCACTATAAATACACAATTGTAAGAAATGAATAATTGATTTGAAAATTATGATGTAAAACTATTAATTATGAGCTCATTCTATGTTGCTATCAAACATTCCATATTAATTGAAGGCATTTATTAGAAAAAGTACACATAAGAGTTCAATTAAAATTTTCATAATCTTTTTCATAATTTTTATTTATGTTAAATTTGGGCAAAGATATAATATTGATTTTTGAAGTAAAGAATTTTTATGCAGAAAAAAGAAGCATCAAGAACAATTTAATATGTCAAATTTATGATAATAGCTAGATTAAAAAAGTTTTTTTCCTACTTTGTACATTATTTTTATTTACAAATTTTTTGTCTACTTATATTAGTTTTATATTAGTTCAGTAAGTAAATATCAAATTTTTATCAATCATCTTCTATCAAGCTTCCCTCACAATGAGGGTCTCCTCTGGTGGTGAAATTATTACGCGTGGTCACCGGATGTCATTCGGTGGAGAATTAGGACGTTCCACCTCATCATTTTGTTTTGTAGTGGTGCTTTGTATTGTTATGTACCGGGTGACGTGGCGCATCCTGATTTGTCTTTGAATTGTCCGACGACCGCACGTAATAATTTCTCCCTCTGATGACTAGGAAAATTGAGTTTGTAATTAATAATGCTTGCATATAATTAAGTTAAACAAATTAAAATACTATCAACACATATTTCTAATAGTTTAATGATGTATTAATTATTGATTAAAGTTGAAATATAGTAAATTTACCTTCAAGATCTCCTATAGCTCTATAGAAATAACATAATTAAAAAAAAAAAAAAGAGCTAAGCATATCAAATTCAATTTCAAAATTACAATTCAAAATTTTTTTAAGATGCTAAAATAGTATCTCTTTTCAATGACTTTCAAATTCTTCATTGGGCTCAAACAAACTTGAAATCAATTTCAAGTATGGAATCGATCTTTAATCCCTTTTTTCCTCCTAATTTTTATTCATTTTATGATTCCAATTTTGTCTCAACTCCTCTATTGAGCCTAATTCCATTGGGGCCTTGTGAATGATTTTGCTTGAATCATTATTTACACCACATATGTCAACATTTGGAAGGCATTCAACTTAATTATTGCATAGTTATCAACTATTTTTAGTACTATTTGTCAACTTTCTCTCCAAATTTTATTATAATCATATTGGTCTAACATTCCTCTTGAATTGGATTCTTTTTTAATGATTGAGCCACAATTATATTTTATTAGAATGTGGTAGATTCTACTGAGTTTTTTTAATGGTCACAAATCGTCCCATTGATGGCTGGCTATCAAATGAGATCGCCAATTGTGCAAAGAAAAGGATTGAAATGTTGTATCTTGTTACACATACTCTATGACTTAACTTTTGTTATACATTCAATGTATATGTGAATGTTCTGAAGAGATTTCCTATGCAAACTCCTTTTAAGTAAATTTGGCTAGTTATCAAACGGGTCGGGTCCAACCCGGATTTTTCGGGTCGGGTCCGGGTCGGGTTGTCGTGTCGTGTCAAATATTGACACCCCTAGATTTTGCAAATGGAGGTAGTTGGAATTTAATGAAAAAATATTATGCTATAATGTAGTTTGTGTTAGGAGGCCAATACTAAACAATAAAAATTAAAGCCATAAGCTCCAAATGGAAGGCAATTTAATTTTATTGAACAATTAATGAATATGAGTCTTCTTCTAAAATAGAAAGTTATTATCTTGTGATTGTAATATAAATTTCTTCTATTTGAGCATATCTCATTCAAGTGTCATTGACACATTCCTTTTTTTTTTTGGTGTTATTTAAAATTAATTAAATTTACAGAACCACATAAGAACTTATCCAAAAAAAGAGATAAAATATCTCTATCAATATTAAAGAAAAATAATTTAAAAAAACACAAAAGGAAAGAGGGTGAGGTCTAGTTGGCTGAACCGAATCAGACCAAGCCCTGCAAAGATGTTGCTCACACAACTATTGGAATAGAGTTAAGTGTTGCAGAGATGAGAATGTGCATGTGATGTCCCAAAATCTAAATGAGAAGAATTATTCTTTTATCTTTTAATAAATAACACCAGAGCTATATATTATTATCTATCAGTATTAAACAACAAAATAGATTCTTAATTTAAAATCTCAATATACACATCTATATTTATTTCCAAAATCATATATACTACTCATGATTTATACAATTATATAATAACCATTATGTCATGAGTATAAAAGAATATCTAAAACAAAAGAACCTAAATATGATGAAATCCTGACCAGTCTCACACTCCTGATCCTCTGTCCTGACCTGAAATCATTTAATCACATATAATGAGCTTAAAAAGTTTAGCAAGTTACCAAAATTTATAACTAAATTCAAAGTACGGTAAATGAACAATATGCATGTCAATAGTCAAATCATAGCAGTTACATTCATATTATCATTGAATCAGTGCAAAAAATAGTAAAAATTATACAATAATAAGAATATTATCTCATGAACATACATTTTATTTGTTACACTAAATAAGTAAGAAGTCATGACTATCAGGATATTTTTCAATGTTAGTCAATCATTGGTTCATTAAATATGATCGTCACTCTTTGTCCATCGGCATAATAATAATCTCCTTATAACTCTCAATCAATGTATAACATAAATTATAGATGATAACATCAAACCACAGTATTTAAAGAAAAGCCCGTCGGCCCACCATCATGTATAGGTCAACCAGTTTTCAACCAATGAGTCAATTAGTCTTTACTTATTTGTTTCACACACGTATATTATTATCATAATACTATAACAATAATAGCGATCAACTATTACTCAAGTAAATATCCACATCCATTTTCAATGCATTGCAGCAAATAATATAATAATTGAGCTTAATTAAGAAGATGCAAAAATGTCATAACGGTAGACAAAAAAAAATCTTATTAAACAAAAATACACATTTTTAGAAAATTATCAAATTATTAGGAATTGCATAAAATGATATTTTAAGACTTTTATTGTATTACACTACTATTTTTAAATAACAAAATAAATTTTGGAATAGACATTAGTCGTTGTATTTTCAAAATTATCGAATAAAAAATCTTAAATAAATACTCAAAATGCTCATAATTATGATTTCTATAACATACAAAAAGTTACCTAGTGAAAACTTTGCAATTACAAAGTTATTCATATTTTTCAGTAATGAAAACAAAATTTTGATTAGAAAAATATCAAAAACTCAAAATCTTTGAAATCAGAAATAGGGTAAAGGTTACTTACAACGAGACGAGCAAATTTTTTAACTGGCCAGATAGACGAAAATCGAAACGCGACCTCCTAATCTAAGATTATAATTTCTCTCTCCTAACCTTTCTCCTCTCATATTCTCTTCACAAACATTTGTTTAGCCTAATGGTGAAGAAAAGGATTTAAATAGATTTTTAATGGTTAAAGCTATTTTCTAATAAATAATAATATAATATTTAATTTAATTTATAATTTAATATAAAATTTAAATAATTTTTTTTAGGACTTTAAAAATTACAAAAAATATCTATAAAATAAAATATATTATTTAGAAATTAACGATGAAATTGGTTTACAAAACGGACACCTAACGTTCCCGAAATCCTCACATGTACCGATACGTACCAATTTTTTAAGTATTTTCACTGGTGCCAATAAATTACAAAAAAAAAAAAAAATTGTGTAGTTAAAATACTACGATCAAAATACTATGACGAATTGAAGATGATTTGTAATTTAAAGTTATAATGACTCCAAAAAAAAATTGATAAAGTCAAAATATAAACTATTACAACTCAAGTGGATAAGTTGCATTGCTCTTAGAGATAGAAGTACTGTGAGACCTTCAGAATCAGGCCCAATTTAGACTAGTTGACCTGATTGGAAAAAGGTAAAAGACACCATATGACCTGTGCGATATTCGGTCATATCAGGTCAGATTGCGATAATAAGAAATGA